AAAAAAAAAAAGAAATTAATTGACCTGTTGTTTGTTTTTCTGTTAATATGTGATAATTGATTTTCTTCTTATTTTCAGAGTAAACTAAGTCAGAATCCCACGATAAAGTTCGTAGGAAATGAAGGGGTAAGTGACTTTTCTTTTTATCCGCCTACTGAAAAAAATCAAAACAATTCTAATGCTTTTTTCTTCGAGAAGTGAAATCCCTGAATAATGTTTTTATGGGACAATTTTCCATTTCATGGCGAGTTTTTCCGCTAGGGGCGCTAATGTTATCTTTTTCTTCAATTTAAAACATGCAGTATACATATGCTACATATTAAAATAGGCATAAAAGCAGGGTTGCCACCTCCTTATTAACTTAGGACTTATAAAATACAACCCCCTAGAAAGTTATAGTCAGCTTCCTTCTTCTTTTGGTTAAATAAACGTCTTTGTATACGGAGTGTTTTTCATTATTCACTTAAATAAGTGTAGTACCAAAGTATATTTATGAAGCAAAGAACTAAATGAACAGTAATTTATTATTGCTAAGTGGTTTTTATGTAACCTACATTTTCCTTAATTCTAGTATTTCTAGATACTAACTTATTTAAAACAGTCTGCTATAAGTAATTGCTGGGGTTTTTACTGACAATGAGTGAGAGTCTAAGCCATTCATGCATTCAAAACAGACCCCACAAGTAATACAAATGTTTGATTAAATATTTTTGAGACTTACATAAAAGGACGTATCAAAATCAAAAGAAAAAATTAATTTGTACATCTCAATTAATTTTCTCAGGGTTCCGTATGTCAATGAAAAATGGAACCCTTATAGAATCACTCGTGTGTCCATTTGTCCGTTTTTTTTATTAAATGTATACAATTGCGGTTACTGTAAAAAAAAATGACAAAACAGAAATTGATTTTAACAACAACTTTATACTCTCTTAATTGTTTATTAATTAATTAAGCAAAACCGGTTGAGTAATTCCCAATAATTTTATTTAGAAAATTGGTTAGTTAATTTTATTCAAGGCGACTCTCTAAAAATGATAAATAGTTCCATGTAGTATGTACGTACAATATGGCGTATATTATTGTTATTAAATGGTCTTGAAGTTTAAACATTTGATGTGACCTTTGCTGGATTTCGACACGTGAATTAATGATTATATTAGTAAAATTTTCCTACATAAACATTCGGTTTTGCACAAAAACGCAAATTTATATCACTCTTAAGTCATAGATGTTTAATCGTAATGGTAGCGGTATTGACGGTAGAGGATTGAATGAAAATAAATAGAAATTAAACAAAAATATTGATGTGTATAAAATGGTGAAAGTAAGGTCATGGCTAAGATAAAAATTAGAAACAAAACTAAAAATGGCCGATTTTAGATATTTGAGAAGCTATTTAAACTTTTTATAAAAAAAAAAAATGTAGTAATTTAGAAATTAGAAAAGCTAAAATAAATTCCAATTAAGCCAACCGATTGCTTGTTATCATCCAATCTTTTGGTTTTCTTTTCGGATATATCGAGTTAGAGAAATCAAAATATTCAAGTTAAAAGGGAGAGGGTGTTTTAGTAAGACAATTTTAAAGCTGCTATAAAATGCTGTGTGAATCTTCTGGATAAGTTGCTCTCCATTATCAAGGCTTTCCCTTTGAACAGGTACGAACGTCTAGTCAGGCATATTAGGGGCAGAAACGAAAGTTAGAAGGGGTAGAGGTAGACCTAGATATGGGTTGTTCTAGTTTTAGGGAAATGCGAAAATTAGCTCAGGATAGGAAAGAGTGGAAGTGCGTGTCCAACCAGTCTTAGGACTGACGACCTTACGATGATGATGGGTTGAGATCTGGAGATCGCGGTGGTCGAACAATGGGGCCACTACAACCTATTATCCATTGATTTGGATACCATTCGTTGAAGAAATTAGTGACACCATTAAGTAAATAGAAGATTGTCCTGCTTATTCGAAGATAAATCTCCTCAAGTTACAGAAGTAAATAATTTTCTAAAAATTCCTGTTATATTTCTCTGTTCAAATTTCCTTTGGACGAAATGTTGGTTTTCGATTGCCCATGGAGATGCATGTTCATATTCAACTTTTTTGACGTGACAACGTCTTATAATTCGATGGAGCCGGCTGCACGCACGAAAAAACATGACTCATGCGGCGTTACCTCGCTCTGAGGCGTTCCATTTAAGGCNTACTCATTATTTTCGTTTTGTTTTATGATTTTATTAGAATTTCTACTTTTGCTTCTCAAAATTTATTATTTAACGATTAGGTATCTACTGAATGTTATTTTGGAGATTGTATCGTGTAAGAGCCCAGTATGGTATCAATTTTGTTTGAAAAAGTAGTGAATCCGCTTATTATGACATCGAAAGGAAATGACTAAACACGTCGTACTAAGCGGGCGTCATACAAAACATATTCTTAGAAAATAAACAACTTTCTATTTTGGTTAGTTAATTAGTTTAATAGATAGAAAAATTACAAATTGAATATATTAACAAAAACAGAAAAAGAACGATGAATTGGAATATCATTATACATAATAAGGGTCAGAAAAATGAGCGAAAATGTTATTATTAATCATTTGGGTCACTATAGCCGGTTATAATTTCTTGAGAATCAATCATAATAAACGATATGTCATATTAAACGGCGTCAGTATATTCAAAGTTTCCTATAGAGAATTGAATATGAAAACCAAAGTTAACACTGCAATTACTTCATATTAAGCGGTTGGTCAATATAAGCGGAGTCATGATAAACGAATTCCACTATATTACTATCTTTCCAATAGAAAATGTCACTGGTGTAAAATAAGAGAAAATTATGTTGTTTTACTATTATTATTGATGATTTTCTTACGTTTATGTAAATATTTAGCATTTAAGAAGAAGCAAGAAAAAAATTATTAATTTATTACCACACTAATACTAGCGTTTGGTAGAACTTAAAAATATATAGGTATATACACAAATAGATATGAAAGATAGTGTTGTTTATTACTTACTCTTACATTTCCTACCGATTACTTAATTTTAGGTAGTATATGAAAGATTGATTGGACAAAGAAATGTCCAAGTAAATGACGCAACTGTAAGGTGATCATTGTCTGCACTTTGCGAAGACATTATTGCAACATATCGATTTCAATAGACGCTTTGTAACTTTTACTCTTTAAGCGACTTCTTGTACTACATTACAATTTTTATCTTTAGACAATACGAAAATAATTTATTAAAAAGAAATTGTTGCAGTAGAAAACTGATTAAGCGTACCTATACGTATTATTGTTTGCACATTAACTATACCAATTATACCATATTATTGTATAATGTTGAGGTGTTATTTCATGATTACTAACGCCGATTGGAATTTTCGCAATTTTACACAATTAATACGTATACTACGTTATACTTATTTAACTGGGCGCATTGCAAAATGCAATTCTTTACCTGAATTGTCTGTTTTGCATGGACATTATTACGAAACGAGTCGTGAGGTACATAGGTACGATAATTACATTTATTTAAAATGCAACCACCAAAATGATCACAAATTAAACAGATCAGTCGTAAAGAATGCAAAAGCGAATAATTTCCATTTTAAAAAAAGGCCCCATAGATTTGCTTTTTTTTATTTAAACCATACAAAAAGTAATTTCAAAGTTTCAATTGAAATTGTCAACTAGTAATAAACAGAAAGATTCATTTTATATCGTAATATATTGTAGACACCATCTCGCTATATTGCAATATTAGCCTCAATGGCATTCAAAAAGCATTAAGAGGTACTACTTAAATTCGACCAAAATCTAAACCACCGAAGCAAAGGAATGTTTAGTCTTTCGCAGAAACTTTAATTAATAACTTTGCTCAAATCCCGTCCGAATCATCAGTCATCTAAACAAGCTTTCTCTTACATCAAAACAAAGAAAATGGTTAGAAAGTAATACGAATAGAATCTGGATTACGTTAATTCATATTACTAATCACTATGTAATAATGTGCTACGTATCTATAGTTCCAGACGTAAGTAGGTTTGCAAAGGAAATTTGTGTATTTGACATAACGGAATAACGTCTAATAAACGATATTCCCATTTTTTAATAAGTGATCCAAGGAAACCACAGAATAACCTGAACCAAGGCAGACGCACCCGGAATCGAACCGGCGTCCTCCCGAACGCTAAGCAATGGTCTAAACCTCTACGCCATGCCACTCGGTTACTTTACCAATTCAACTTTTATGTACAACTTGCGTCCTCTGTAATTAAGTAGATGATCACTTCCGCCCCAATTCTTTCACAACCACAAAATTAATACGTATTGATTACTATTTTTACATATTAAATAATACATATACTTTAATCGTAACGAGACACCGTTCCCAATATTATACTCATTCTTTTTTTTTTAACCGTTGAATCAGCAGTAAAAAAATAAGGAGTAACTTAAACTAGAGATGCACCGGATAGTAATTTTGCCGGGTGCCGGATAACCGGGTGCCCAGTATTAGCTGTGCCGGATTCCCCGCAAAATCACTACGGTTAATGGTTCATGTCTTTGTTCTGGCAGGCTTTCCAGCACTGTCGACTACCTGACGTCATTATCTGGTACCCGGCCGGATCCTAAAAAAAAGTGTTGAATCCGCCGGCTACCGGATCCAAACCGGACACCCTAATTTACACTAAATGTCCACTGACGAAATCGTTAGGTTGTGGTAGGCATATGTAAAGTACAGTAGAAAACGGTACCAAATTGGGACGGAATCAACCATTTCTAAAAATAATGTCATCTACGGAAATAGTCAAAACCTTGATATAATGTAGAACTTATTAATTTTCAAACAGGAGAGACAATAATTGTAACCGCGCGAGAAGTGGTATTATTACCGTTCCGTTTAGTAAAAAAAAAAAAGATTAATGAAGTGCGTCAACAAATTTTACATAGTGACGCAAATTGTGTTGCTACAATTGCGCGAACCTTCCCACTCGAGTTCATTATCAACAATGAAAAACTTCTCCTCTTCGATTACCCATGGCCCACATTTTTAATTTTCCTTGACCGAAATAGAGTAAATGCAACTAAATAATATTAACCAACATTATTTACAAACTGT